GCTCCAGGTCCGTAGGTGTCGGTCCTACAACCCTCGTCAAAATTAACCTCAAAAATGTCTGACGTGGTTGAACTGCTTGTCGGGAGATGTGGGGCCGAGTATCAATGAGTGCGGGGTACTTGCATGCGCCGCCCCTCCAATGTCGGTCGACGTCAAACTTTCGAGTCAACTTCGGTCAGACTATCTTTGCCCTCGCCCCGACATTGAAGGGGCGGCGTGTCGACATCGAGGGGCGCGCCGAAATCGAAGTGACGTGCCAGCACCCTTTGAGGTTAATTTTGACGAGGGTCCTAGGCAGTTTTCGCTAGATGGAGGCTTGCCAAAAGGGAGGTCTGTCCACCGCCGAAGAGACGGGCTCGACGTAGAGGCCCCCGCCTCGCACCACGGATGGGGGGCCGTGCCCGTGGTCCGCGCTCCGTGGTGGCGTTTCGGGTGTTAGGGCTCGGGGTCGACAAGGGCGCGACGAGGTCAGCAGACTGGGCGTGTCGCACACTGGCGCGGTGCCCACATCCCACCCACCCCTAGAAGCCCATTGCAGATCGAGACACGTATTCTGGCGCATGCAGGCCATCGGGGAAGCTTTATGGTCTAGGGTGTAGGGCTTAGGGCCTGGGGATCGAGAAACATGAGCTGCGGGGATCGACCCAAACAGTGTTTTTTCGTTCTCGGTTCGTGCTCGTTTCCCTTGGTTTTTGTCTTCGATCCGCCTCTGCTGCAGAGCGATGTCGAATCGACAACGGCCCACGAACTCGCCAGAACACTGTCTGGGTCGGCCCCTGCTGAGCTGCACAAACATACACTTTCGGAGCTCCGCGCACGCATTTCCTGGATCTGCGCGGATCTCCCGGACTTGCCCCTGACGCGCCTCGCGCGCCAAGGGGTGGCCCAACGCCGATCCAAGAGATCCGCGCGGAGCTCCGAAAGTTCTGTTTTACTTGTTTTGTTAGTGCTGTTTTTTATTATGTATAGCCTCTGGTTATTGTTGTCATGTATTGTTTGGTTCCTCTTGTCTCGTGTTGTTCCTCTTGTTTTCTATGTTTATGCAGATGCTTGTTCTTCTTTTGCAGCCAACCCGCATCGTAAGGACGAGCAGCTCGCCAAGCTCACCCTCGCATCCTTCCCCTTCCCCTTCTGCCCCTCCTCGGCCGCTCTCTCTCCGGCCGCGCCCCGCCTCGCAGAGTGCCGGCGTGGCCTTCCAAGGCCCTTGCGTTCTCCTCGTGCGTCCTGGTTCTACGGATGGACTGTACAGTGGGGGCGCGCATCAAGAAACCCTCTGCTTTTCGTCAGGGTACCCTGGGTTTCTTCGCTCCTCGCGCTTCGCGGTGACTTTCCGCAAGCCGTTGAAGGATCTGCTGCGTTCAGGGTGCCCCAGGTTTCCCCTAAGGTGCACCTCGCGCACGGGTTCTCAGGGTTGGGTTTCTTGCGAGGGTTTCTTGCGGCCGCGCCCGCACTGTATCGGTGGCGAGCGAGGGGGGGACGTGAGAAGGAGAAGGCCTTCTCAGGAGGCGGCAAGGACTTCTCAGAAGCCCTCGCGCCCTCCGAGAGGTTTTTGTTGTCGTCTTCGGGGAAAGCTTCGAAACCTTCCCAGAAGGCTGGGGGGCTCTCGCAGAAGGCCTTCTCCTTCCCACTTCCCCCCTCGCTCGCCGCCGAAGTGGGGGCCTGCCAGCCCTCCCTCGCCCGGGCACGTGTGGCTCCGCCATCGAGGTCTTGTCGCCGATCCGTCCTCCATCGCGTTTTTTTTTGTTTCACAAAAAAAAATGTTTTTGAGGCGCCTTTTTTGTAACTGGGGGGGTCCGGTTTGTTAGGGCGCTGTCTTTGGATGGGAGCTCAGGGGGTCCGGTGTATGAAGGCGCCCAGTCGAAGAGGGGTGTCCAGAACATTAGGTCGCATTTGGAGGGGGGTCCGGCTTTTTAGGGGGGGGGCGATTAATCAGGGATTTTCGGAGTACTGGTATCGCTATTTCCAGGTCGATGTGCCTCGCACGTCGCCGACTATATTCGGAAACTGGAGCATCTACATTACCAGTGGCGGGCTCTCTTTCAATCCCAGGACTTTTGAGGGTCGGGGACGACGTCGGGGTGGTGCGCTGTATATTTTTTCACCGTTTCCCCAGGGAAGCGACGAAACATGTATACACCAGGACCCCATATATGCACCAGGATCTGCTTTCTTGTGGGAGTTCCAGCGCAGCTCCGGAAAAAGCGGTGGTGTATAGAGATTGGTTCCCTTCGTCTCATCGGTTTCCTGAAAAACCGGAGGGGGGTCCGTTTTTTTCGGGGGGGTGGGGGCGGCGATTAAGAAGGGATTTTTGGAGTACTGATATCGCTAATTCCAGGTCGATGTGCCTCGCACGTCGCCGACTACAGTCGGGGCGCTGAGGAAGGAACCCTGTTCGTTGGGGAGGGGCTCGGTGTTCCTTGATCGTTTTACAGTCTGCCTTGGGTTTTCCTTAGGTTTCCAATGGCACATCGAAGCTTAAATTCTGGAAAAAAAAGGGGGCCCGTTCCTTATTTAGGGTTCCTTAGGTCAGCGCCCCGACTGTATGCTGTCGCTCGGTTTCCTAAAAACCGGAGGGGGCTCCGGTTTTTCAGGGGGGGGGGCCGATTAAGAAAAAGATTTTTGGAGCACGGGTCTCGCGAATTCCAGGCCGATGTGCCTCTCGCACGTCGCCGACTATACGCTGCCGCTCGGCAGCTCTGCTCCCTGCAGCTGCCGCGCGCAGCCGAGGGGGGGGGATTGGGGCCCGGTGGCCCCGCGGAGCGGCCGCCCCCCCCCCGAAGGGCGCCCGGCGCGCCGAGCTCCTCGTACTGTGCGTCCTCCTTCTCCTCCTCCTCCTCCTCCTCCTCCTCCTCCTCCTCCTCCTCCTCCTGCTCCTCCTTCTGGTTTCTGGTTTTTGGCCTCCGCAGGAGCCGCCGCGGGCCGCGGTGGCGCCCTGGATATCGCGAGGGGGGGGGCGCGCCGGGGCGGCAGGGGCGCGGCGAGGTCCCCGGAGCCCCGTCCCCCTTTCTCCTCCTCTCTCCTCCTTCCTCCTCCTCCTCCTCCTCCCTCCTCCTCCTCCTCCTCCTCCTCCTCCTCCTCCCTCCTCCTCCTCCTCCTCCTCCTCCCTTCCTCCTCCTCCTCCTCCTCCTCCTCCTCCTCCTCCTCCTCCTCCCCCCCTCCTCCTCCTGCTGCTGCTGCTGCTCCTCCTCCTCCTCCTCCTCCTCCTCCTGCTTCTCCTCCTCCTCCTCCCCCTCATCCTCCTGCTCCTCCTCCTCCTCCCCCTCCTGCTCCTCCTCCCCCTCCTCCCCCTCCTCCTGCCCCTCCTCCTGCCCCTCCCCCTCCTGCTCCCCCTCCTGCCCCCTCCTCCTCCTCCTCCTCCTCCTTCTCCTCCTCCTTCTCCTCCCCCTCCTCCTCCTGCTCCTCCTCCCCTCCTCCCCCTCCTCCTCCTCCTCCTCCTCCTCCTTCTCCTCCTCCTCCTCCTTCTCCTCCTCCTCCTCCGTCTTACTCCGTTCCCCCTTGTTCCCCCTTCTTCCCTCCTCCTCCCTCCCTCCCTCTGAGGTATCCCAAGGTTTTCCTCGTTTGTTTTGTTGTTGGTTGCGGTTTGTTGTTTCGTTTGTGTGTGTAAGTGTTTGCTTGTTTGTTCGTTTGTTTGTTTGGTCTCATGTTGTTTCTCTATCGCTCTCTCTCGCTCTGTCTATATGTATATATGTGTGTGTCTCTATCTCTCGTGTTCACTTTTTTTTGT